ACCAGCAACAAAGAAATGGAAAGTTTGTAGTTATATTCTTTCTTCTCATATAGTAAAAAAAATTTTCATTATTTAAACAAAAGTAACTTATGAATCTGCAACAAACAATATTCAAAAGTCAGAGTTCTAACGGGTTTGTGATTACGAAGGTTTTTCTTTTTTGCAGCATACTTTAGCCCCAACATTTTTGTCATCGTAATATAAATCATAACTGATGTCCATTTTAATAATTTTTCACCTTTTTACAAGCAATAATGAATTGATTTGTTTTGATTTTTGGTTTAAACATTTTCAACTGTTTAATTATCCGTCAAATCTTCATTTATTCGGTTGGCAACAGCAACGAAACTTTGACTAAAAATAGCTGAAGTTCGTAATACCAAAAAGAGTTGTTTATATCCGAAGTTGAATTGCTTCATAACATAAACACAATACGGGCGACGGCGAATATTCGTCGTACCCGGAGGTGCCGTCGGTGATTCGAACACACGATTGTATATGAAGATTAACACAATACGCGACGTCGGCGAATTTCGTCCACCATGACGATTTTTGAGATAGAGCTATTTCTAATTTTATCGCCAACCGCGGCGGCAAAAACGGCATCACCATATCAAAGAAAGATTATTTTCAGTAAAAATATGAAGGATTTAAAAAAAAATGTAAGAAAATGTCTGCGTTGGCAATATTAAGATTGTTTATGTTTGATTTCGTCATTTATTGTGATATTTTTGAGCGCTGAATATACACTAGCTGCGACGAAAATCGTCCGTATTGTGTTTTACATGGTGGCAACACTCGGCGTTTTACCTCAGTGGAGTTGGAAACCGTAATAACAGTATTACATTCTTTACATGGTTGCAATTGCGTTCACATTCAAATAAATAATAAGTCATTTGTTTGGAAATTATAATTCCATCATGCATTTTATACGATATCTTATTATGTATACAAATGTATTTATTACATAACAGCAATATATTATCTTAGACATTGGGTTATAAGGGTAAAAATTAGATATTGAAAAATGGACTGGGACTTATATATAAGAATATATATAAATATATAGTAGTATGTCAAAGGACACAGGAAACTGCATCTCTGCTTAGCAATCAAACATTTAAAACTCATAAAGTAGAAATGGAAGAATACACGTGGTTGAACCAATTATTTGAAAAAATTTACAACATGCAGAAAGCACTGGGAAAATCTACGGAAGCGCGTAAGAAAAATTATGGTGTGGTTAAATGCTTCAACTGCGGAAAGAGTGGCCATAATGCATGGAACTGTAACCACTTCAATAATCCAGTTGGACGTAAACGCAAAGCTGAGGAAGATCAAGCAAATGTCAAATCCAACCAATCGTTAAACTAAAGCGAACCTGACGAAAAGAGCACAGACTGTAATCTCCGTTTCATAAATAAGTAGGAGTACGAGTAACGTTACCATTAGTGGATGTGTAGACGGCAAATAGCGCATACAAACTGTGGATACGAGCGCATCACATTCCATAATTCGATCTGATCTGGTTGATAAAGATGTGAGACCATTAGCAGGGGCAAAATTGCGTACTGCAACTGGAGAAGATACCCAGGTAAAGTAACGTGCAAGATCGTAATTGGAAAGGCAGCCGTGTTACACAATTTTATAGTGGCAGATATCATCGAAGTCATAATTGGAGTAGACCTTCTAGCAAATCAAGGAATCAAAATTGATATGGAAAACAGGATTATGACCTATACAAATATGGAAGTGCCACTTATGTTCGGTTACGACAATAAGTACATCGATAGAGAAGTGATAACAGCAGAGGGCCAGTAAATTCCATCAAAATCAGAAGCAGTTATTTGGATAGAAATAGATGGAGACCATGGGCCAAACAAGTTGTAGATTGTTGAGGCCATTGAAGAATCTACACCAAAACCTGGCTATGACAAGACAAGATAAACGTGTTCCAGAAAGAGTACTTAACGATTGCAAGTCTCCAATCAAACTCTACAAAGAAGCTATATTAGTGCAAGAAATTGAAGCCGTGATAAATTGCGAAATAGGTCTTGAGGAAGATTATAATACAAAATAAGGCTAAACAACTTTTTCTCAGATACTAATCCATATTTGATAAAGACGATGCCAAGCAAGGCAGAACCAAATTGTGCAAGATTTTATAAACACAGGTAATACTACACCAATCCGACAGGCTCCTCGAAGCGATCCTTTAGCAAAATGTGAAGTTGTTAGAAAAAAAATACGTGAAATGAGTGAAAGTGGCGTAAGCGAGCCATCAGAGTCCGTGTAGCTCACCTGTAGTACTTGTGAAGAAGAAATATGGCAACTTAATATGCTGTGTGGACTATAGAAGGTTGACTGATATAATGAAGAAAGATCCACTACCTACAATCGATGATACGCTGAACTCGTTACCCGGCACATAATGGTTCTCAACACTTGATTTGAAAAGTGGTTAATGGCGAGTGGAGGTGAACGAAGAAGACAAAGAAAAGACGGCTTTTAGCGTTGGAGATGGCCTATGGCAATGTACCGTAAGGCCTTTTGGATTATACGCTCCTGCTACCTTTGAGAGAATTATGGACCAGGTATTAAAAGGATTACACCGGAAAACCTGTTTGGTATATCTTGACGATATCATCGTGTTGGGTAAAAGTTTCGATGAACACCTTAAGAACTTGGAAAAGGTTTTCCAACGAATAGCCAGCGCTGGTCTACAGCTGAGTTCAAAGAAGTGTTCCCTTGTAAAAAAAGGAGTAAGCTACTTATGACATAAAGTGACAACGGATTGCAATTGCATAACTAAAGCTAGATAGAGGCAGTAAAAATTGGGCCACTCCTAAAAATTTGAATGAAGTACGAAGTTTTCTTGGACTGTGTACTTATTATCGACGATTCGTTCCAAATTTTGCCAACGCAGCTAGTAGCGTCCATGAACTTACGAAAAAACAGAGTTTTTAAATGGAATAAAGAACAGGAAGTGGTTTTCCAAACTCTGAAGAAACGGTTAAGTGCTGCGTTAGTGTTGGCATACCCGGTCCCAAGATCAGCGTTTATTTTGGATACGGCTGCTATTGGGTTTGCAGTAGGAGGCGTTATATCACAAGTCGTTGATGTGCATGAGAAAGTGGTTACATATAACAGCCAGACCATTGCATGCCAGATAGAAATTATTGTGTTACTCGGAGGGAATGACTAGCGTTTGGGAAGTACATCAAACATTTTCATAAGTACCTTTATGGCTAGCGAATTTCCATGGATGTAGCTGGTTCATTTGCTGCTAAAGGGCCGCGGTCCAGGAGTCATGGTCAGATGAAGCAGTACAATTCAGGTGCGCTGTTTGAGCGAGTAGCCATGGATGTAGCTAGTCCATTTCCTATCAGTTAATTAGGAAACAGACAGGAACAGAAGCGGATGTATTTATCAACAATTAAGTATCGATATATGGTGTTTCAATAGAATTACATTCTGACCAAGGGAGAAACTTTAAATCAGCTCTAATTCAGGAGATATGCCAGAAATTGGTATCCGGAAAACCCGTACAACTGCACTACATCCGCAGTCCGATGGCATGGCATTCGAACTTTGAACTTGTTGCTGACGGATTATCGGTCTGATGTAACTGAAGCTACAGGCCGACTCCAGCAAGGATAATTTTTAGTAATGATCTTAGACTACTGGTTGATTTGAAATTTGGAATTAACGCCAAGGGAGGAAGCAATGCTAAGGAATTCAACAGAATCCTAGAAGACGAGATTAGGGATATACATGCTATGGGAGATAGCGCACCAAAATTATGAGCGATAAAATGAAAGTAAAAATCGACAAGGCAATGAATCTTCTGGGTTTTATTGAAGGCGATTGAGTATTGTTATTGAATAAGATTCGAATAAAACAAAATCCGGTTTTAGGTTCGTCACTTGTCTTCATGGCTTTATTTTTAGCAGTGACACAAATTCGTAAAAACAGGTAATTATCTGACTGTTTTTCAAATAGGCACATGTGCCGAAAAGTAATAACAATTAGACGCGCTTATAATAAACATATGTACATTTTATATTTAAACTAATTATGTTCCAGGAATAGAGCATTAGCTAACGGAGTGCACGTGTGCAGTCGGCGTTGATATATGTACATATATATGTAAATTAATTATGTTCCAAGAATAGAGCATAAGCTAACGGAGTGCACGTGTGCAGTAGGTAATCGGCGTCGTTGATATATGAACATATGTACCTATATAATTACGCATACATGTAAATAGCTGAATGCGAGTAGCAAAAGACAGACTAAATAACCTTTCAATCATTTTATCTCATGGACGTAGCGTTTGTACACTTAGAGAGGGATTATACCCTAAAAAATATTCCAATCTCAAACAGTTATATAATCCACAACGAAAGAAAGAGTTGTCTCCCAAACTACAGTGTAATTGGGAAAGACCATACCAGGTTATTAAACGACTCATCGATGTAGTGTATCGCATACAGACCAAGGAATAAAATGAACGAATCGGGACTATTAGGCTTAGGTGGAGGGCACTGTGGCGAACACGAATGCCAGAACATATCAAAATCGACGATGACCTGCTGGAACCAAATAGATAGCGAAATTCGTAGTTGCCAGAATGTTCGAGTAGCGAAGTTTAGTTAGCAATCGACTATATAAGGGCTGCCGGATTGTGCAGCAAACACAGTTCTAGTTAGAGTGTTGCCGTTGTAAACTCGAATAACGAGTAATAAGTGCTAAGTTGTTGGAATTATAAATAAAGATAGGTGTATAGCCATTACATGGGGACTTTTATTTAACAATCCAGTGATTGAACTCAAGTGTGAGTTACAAAGTAAACGATTTATCGAAAAATTCGTTACATAATGAATTTTTTATTTAATCCCCGAAATAGTAAAAAAAAACACTAAACGAAACAATTTCTGCATAACAAAGAGGTTTTTGCAAAATTAACAACTGAACTGTTTGAACTTACACGTAAGAGATTTTTTACGATAACGTTAGGTATGTAAGATATCGATAAATTAAAACGTTAATAGGAAATAATCGCATCACAAATGGCATAATTGGTTTTCACTCATTCAAAATTATTGTACTGTAGTTATTCTAAAGAGGGTTTAGACAACGTAAATCGATTATACTTTTAAAGATGGCTACGAAATTGGTATGTAAAAATAATTTATAATAAGTTTGCGTATACATATAGCTGTGCACGGAACAGCTTATATTATGTCATAAGTTTACATTAAACGGTAGGTCCTAATCCTACTATTTATACAGCAACACATTAAATGTTAACATTATCTATGAATATAATGAAGGGTAAATTTTAGAATAGCTATAAAGGAGGTTCTCCAGACTAAGAAAATATCTATATAAAGTTGCCGCTGAGATATTTGCATTTAGAGTTTAACAATTTATATATTTCAAGTGGTGGACTTTAGTTTAGGATCCCATGATTTCAGGGTTGGGAGGGGTATGGTTGGATAGAGGAGATTCTCCAAATTACGAATATATATAATTATTGCCGCCGGAAACTTGTGGCTTTCGAGATATTTGCATTTTAAGTTGAAAATTTCACAAATTTTATTTTACAATTTCTCGATTTATGCTTATCTTTTCTTTTAAATTATGCCCTTATTATACACTAACTTTTCACTTCAATGTTTCTAAATATTTATTTTATATTAAATATTTAAGTATTTGCTTTAAATAAGCATTTAATTTTTACACAATTTGCGTTATATGAACAATAACAAATGGGTTCCATGTTGACAGCTAACAAGTGTTGCCATATCTATTATAGATATATATATATAAATATATATTTATATTTTGAAAGCGAATTAAAATGAACAATAAAAGAGGATTATACCCCAAATACATGAACTATAATTTTGTTCATTCCCTTCTATTGATAAATTATGGTATTGGATTGGCCAGGGTTATTTATTTGAAGCGCGGACGAAGGCCGCTATTGCGAAAAGAAGCTTGATGCGATTGAATTTTGAACACCCAGGATTATTTATTTGAAACGCGACCGAAGGCCGCCAGTGCAAAAAGGAAAACGAACCAAAAAAAAGTAATGTTAAAGAGGGTTTATCACTCTCTTTAAACTTCAATTTCTATAACGGAATTTTCTACAACTAAACAATTTACCGTTTCTTATTCATGTCCGTTTTGTCTTTATTTTAATATTCAAATTGAATTGTTATTTTGTATAAGTTATTCCGCAAATTTTGAAAAAAATGAGTACATGTTCGTCAGGTATGTTATTAAAAATTTAAAATTGTTACAAATATTAAATAGATTTTGACGAACCGTCAACCAGCCGTGGTGTGGTAAGAAAAACCAATGTTCTCACAGTGTCCGAAATCAAGGAAATGTGGAATTTCGCTAAAATAATCCAAAATTTTGACACTAGTGAGAAAATGTATATTGTTTGCAGACGAGAGGGGCTTAATTTTAAAAAGCACATTATGCCGAACGCATAGGACACCTATGTTGCTATCGATATCCGATAACATCACGGTTGGCGTATTTCGATGCCGGAAAAATGCCTGCCGTAAACAAACTGCGGTGTCCAGGTCGAATGGGACATAGTTCGAAAACGCTAAAATACTACTGCCTCAAATTTATTTGATGTATGCGTTTGCATCGCACTGGTAGCTTGTGGAGGTTCGAAAGAACAGTTTTATTAGGGAGGCAATTTATCCAGCGCTACCATATGTGAATGGTACAATTACTGCCGCGAAGCGGTAGTTTTATACCAGGTTGATCACAAAAGTTGTTCGAAGAGACGAGAGCAAATTCGGGAAACGAAAATATAACAAGGGCAATAATAAATACATTATTGTTTATTTTTCATACGTAGTTATTTAATTCTGCAGAATTTTTTAGCTACAACAACAACTAAGTGACTTGAAAAATATGTGCAAAGTGCATAATTTATTGAAAAAATTTTCGTTCCGCTCACGGATTTGCAATATTCGCGTCAAAATAAGACGATTAAAAAAAAAACATTTTTGAGGCCTCCTTATTTGGGGGTTACCTAAGCATTTTATTTGTTACTCAATTTTCGTTATATGCACAATAACAAATGGGTTCCATGTTGACAAATAATAAGTGTACCATAACCAAACGAATGAAAGCAATCAAAATAGGTAAAAAATAATAAAGATATCCTTTACAAAATGTTATAAACTAAATTTTCCATTTATTTGGTTGGATTTTCCTTTTGCATTTGCAGCCTTCGGCTGAGCATCAAAAAAATATCGTAGAGCTACTTTGTGCATTGGCCGCCTTCGGCCCCGCTTTTAAGAAAATATTCCTTGTCGGTCCAACACCGGGGTTTCCCAAGAAAAGGGGGAAATACTGAAAACTATTACTACTTTATTGTACATCACCGATAATGGTAATGGGGTATAATCTTTCTTTTTGTTGTTTTGCAAACCGATTTGTTATTGTGTAAATATATATAATTGAACAATAAGTAAAATATTGAATTAAAGCTGTTTTTGCAGTATATAATGTGAAATAAATGTGTACAAACGATTTAGTGAAGTGTTAATGGATAAAAAATTGGAAATTGTAAATGTAAATCTCATTTTAAATTGAAAAAATACATTAAATACTTGAAATTTTCAACTTTCAACGTAAATATCTCGAATACTATAAGTTTATATAAAAAATTATGATGATATATTTATTGGTAGATTTGAGACTGTGTGTTTGCAAAAAATACTATATAAAGACATATATTTTGCCAATGTATTTTTATTTTTGAATCATAAAATCAAAACAATGCAAAGCACATCGGCTGATTTTGACATTATGGTTCCAATTACTATCGGCAAAACCTTTTATAATTTAAACATGCTTCATATCAACACTGGAAAATTAATCAATATATTTTTTATTTTTACAATTCAAAACAATTAAAATAAACAAAATCAAAGCAAATGCGTCAAATATCGGTTGTATGCACATGTGCTTCTAGAGATGATATTTCTGCTAGTAGAAGTAGATATTTTCTGCTAATAGAAATTTCATTAGCAGAAACTAGCAGCTTTTACGCTCTCAACTTGTGCTCTCTTCTGCTAGTTTTTGGGTTAAGAAACGCTTTTCCAGCAGAAACTTTGCTATCTAGCGATATTGTGCAGTTAAGATACAAACCTGATAAGATGCAAATCAGCTGTTTTGCTGATAACCAGAGATGCATTATATAAGTTTAAAAATTGTTTACAACATTGTAACGGATTTTTCAATAAATCATCTACCTTGTACCTAACTCTTAAGTTCGATCGCTGGATCTCAAGTCACAACTTAATGGTTATACACTTATCTTTTTTTCTAATTCCAACAACTTAACGCTTTATTACTCATTATACGAGCTTACAACTTCTTAGTTATATCTCACTTGCTCTTTACACGGTAACACTCTAACTATAACTGTGTCTGTTGCTCAATGCGGCAGCCCTTATATAGTAAATCATTAACAAAACTTCGCCATTCGAACATTTTGGCAACTACGAATTTCACTGCCTAGTTAATTCTTTCCATTAATCGTCGATCCTAATATTTTCTAGCATCGTGTTCGTCACACAACTCTTCATCTACCTAAGTCTGATCGTCCCATATTTAGTATTATCTCATCTCGTTTTCGGAGATGCTCGTGACTTCCTCAGCCGTCATTCTCTTATTGGAGTTAATTCCATCCGTTTTCCAGATACCCAGTTTCTGGTGCGTCTCTTGAATTAAAGCTGACTCGAAACTCCTTTCTTGGCCAGAACGTAATTCCATTGAACACCGAATCTCGTTACAGTCTTGTTGATGAATCATCTGGTACTGGTTCAGGCTGTTGATTAAAACTTTTGTATACTTCTGGCCATTCGGTAAAATTGTCCTTGACCACCAACACATTTGTTTTCAAATTTATTTGTGGGAAATGGATCATCCACACTCATGGCATTTTACTCTAATGGTGCACCCGGATTGTACTGCTTCATCCATCCTTTGGTTGCAATTGGTCGTAAGTGGTTATCGACAACCAACACAAGAAAATCTTTGCTTCTTTAACTTCTCCAAGGTCGTCGTGATTATCAAGTGCCTTCCACTTGGATCATTGTACAGCTCGTTGAGGACTTCAGAAATTCTAACCTTCAGAACAATCATAAGTACTCGGGAGATTTGCTCATCTTTGCTTTTTTAAACTGCTCCGCTCTGCCTTAATATGCGTACATATCCACTCCACTTACCCCATTACCCCTTGCAATTCTGGATCTTTTTGTAAAGAGTCATCGGTTTCAACTTTAATTTTATCCTGCTCTGCCACCTGAGATGATAAACACGCTTCCTGCTCTTCTAACTGTGACGACACCTGTGCTGATATACGTGCAGCTAGCCGTGCGAACTGCGTTGACAACCGCGTTTCTAACTGCGTCGTTTGTGGTGACACCTGTGCTATTTGTCATACGTGCATCCTGCTCCGGTGGGACATTTGTGGTAAAGTCTGCATTGGCACACATTGCAACCAAAATCATGGTTATGTCTATAGTTTTTGTGGAGCATTGAATATCTGCCTTTGCTTCTATCTACGTTGTAGTCTAATATCCTCTAATTCCAATTGATAGACATATTCCTCAACATTAATGTTTTCCACTTCAATGGCCTCTCGAAATCGTGATTGTAATTCAGTTTTTAATCCATTCTATTTTGCTATGTCATCGTGTTCGTCACAATATTTTATATTAAATGTAAAACACTGCTTATAGCTAAATAACTAACTAATATTTGGTATGACTACATTTTTGGTATTTTACTTAAGTATAGCATCCCCCGAATTCGGGGATAAACCCGGTATGGGCGAATAGAGAATGTTCTCCAGATTAGAAATATACAGTATGCAAAATCCATATTCGTACATCACTACTTTTACAGATTCTCCTTAAAAATGTGGCAATAAATTAAATAATAGAAGCACTTTTCTAAATGCATAAAACTTTTTTTAATTTAAAACACAGCAGTTAATTTGTGGCAAACATGACCAAATTTATGAGCAAAATTCGTATTCGTACAGCGTGGAATTGTACTGTTACTTCGAAATTCGTCAATTTTCGATGAGAAGTGTCTTATGTTTTCTCTATTTCATCAAATTTGCTACTTTTCGCTACTGGGACGCAAATCAAGTGAGTTGACAAATGAAATGAGAAATTTAGTTGTAAATTTACATAAAGATGGAAAGTCTCTTCGATTAATCGGAAAAACTGTGAATCGGAGTTTCACTATCGATTATTAAGATATATAAAAATAACGGAAGAATCAATAAAAATATTAGAAATCAAGACAGATGTTTTTTAAATAGGGAAATAAAATAATTTCTACGAGAAATCAGAAAAGATGTGACCGTAAGTGCGGTTAAGCTTTCTGCTCTTTTGTATCAAACTTCGATATAAATGTACACACTGTACGAAATTACATTAAAAAAATCGGATTTCGGAGCAGAGAAGAAAACCATTTATCAATTTAATAAATCGAAGAAAACGTATACTTTTTGCAAAAACTTTTAAAAATAAGGAGTATCACTTTTAGAAAAGAGTAATAAGTCAAAAATCAACTTGAGATGTCAGATGGAAGAGTTAAAATATGGAGGGAGGCAAATACTAGCTTGCATAAACAAATTCTTATGCCCACGTTTAAACACGGTGTTTCACCTGTGATGGTTTGGGGATGTTTCAGTGCTTCGGGAATAGGAAATTTGCACTTTACTTATGGAATCATGAATGCTAAGAAGTATATAGATATATTAAAAATAAATATACACCAAAGTGCTGAAAAATTGGGTTCAGGGGGTCGTTTCATCTTCAAGCAGGACAATGACCCAAACCATAATCCATTAGATACAAGACTTTGGATATTATAACTGACCAAAATACTTGAAAACGCCTCCTCAGAGCCCAGACCTAAACCCAATTGAGAACTTATGATCTGTTTTGAAAACTTCACTAAACAATTATACTATTGGAAACATTCCGGACCTAAAACGAGCTTTAAGAAAAGAATGTGAAAAGATAACATTAAAACTCACAAAAAAAATTTGTGAAATCGACGTTACGCCACTTATATGCTGTTCTAAAACAAAGGGGATATCCAACAAAATATAAATTTTATTATAATAGTTATTTTTTGTACTGTAAATAGTGTACGAATATGAATTTTGCTGTTTAGAAAATTTTAAATGCTTAAAAATACGATATATTTTTGGAAAAATAAGTTTCTTCAATAAGTTGGTAAATATATACATTTATACTTGAAATGGCATATAAGTTTTTAATTTATTTTGATTATAATTTTTTTATCTGCAAAATTGATATAAAATATGTGGTGTACGAATATGGAAAATTGGTAAAAAATATGTGGTGTACGAATATGGATTTTGTATACTGTATATACATATAGCCGCGCTTTTGTCCAAAAATTTACAAATTAAGGTATGTAATTTTTATATGTATTATGAATTTTACACTTATATTATTCAATATTATATCCACTAACCCTTCACTAAAAAGTGTTTAAACATTTATTTAATCATAAAAAGTGTACCAATAAACGGTTGCATGCAAACAAATAAAATTGAAAAGATAAAACTGCAAATACAGAAAACAAATAGTTTAAAAAAAGTAATTGTTATAAAGTGAGTTATACCCTCCATGACATTATTAGTCGATGGTCAATCCAACATCGGGATGTTCATAGTTCTTTCGCGTCGAACTACTTTCTGCATTAGGGACTTTCGACCGCTTCAAAAAAATTACCCTGATCGATCCAACAACGAGATTTATTAAGTCTAAAATGCAAAATCTATTCTCATTGCAAATTTTAAACGGGATTTGATGTTTGTAGCGCTTATATACGGCTTATTTACAGCTATTCTTATATGAATCCCGGTTTCTGGGTGGTATATCTTACTCATTTCGACATCTACTTTATTAGCAATTTTCGGAGCTGATATTTTGAATTTTTCCAAATTTTCAGTAGGAGTAGCCCTTGTTCGTTAGAATGGTGTGCTGTTCCAAACTTAAGTAGACTTCGCTACTATTGGCTGCAACATTAAGTTATAATAATAGAAAATATTTATAAAAATCCGAGATCAGCAGACTCAGAAAAAACACCTCAAGGCGTCATGTTCATGCTTAATCAATATTATAAGATATAAGAAAATTAGTTTAAGTGAAAAGCGTAAAACTATTTAACTAACAGAGATTATAGCTAAAATTTTTGTATTGTACTATAAATAAGTTATGGTTTCGATATATTAGTAATAACGAACATCGACTTACGTTTTCAGGTAGATAGTTATGATATTACAGTGTCCAATTTTTCGCTTTTATGTTTTTAGACCACTGGTTTGACAGGTTTGGTAGTGGCAAGTAATCCCCATCACACTTTGAGTGCTCTTTACGGTAAAATATTACGAGCTCTTACCAAAATGCCTCAGGATGCTTCATATAGGAAATATACCGAAAAAGTTGTCCAGAACAGACTGAAAGCAGTAGAAGCGGTATGGTAAATATACTCGTTCTTATTTTTTTTAATTACATGCATATTTATGTTTTTAGCACAAAGACGTTAGCGCTTTGGAAAAAGAAATTGCTTGTGGACAAGTAGAGGAACTAATTGTACAAGCTGAGAATGAACTCATTTTAGCCCGCAAAGTGTTAGGATGGAAGCCTTGGGAATCTTTGGTGAAACCAGCACCTCAAAAGCAATGGAATTGGCCACCGGCAAAAATTGACGAGCCAGTGGTCTAAATAATATGATAATGTTAATAAAGTGATAAAACCGCGTCTCACAGGAAGGGACTTATCTACATATTTTTGATAAGTCCCTTCCTGTGAGACTGTTTTAATAAAATGTTCAGAAAATATAGTTGCAGTTGTCGTGTAATAAAGCGTTAACCACATATATTCGCCCTGCTGACACTTCTTGGCTTCTTGCTTTGCATCCTTTTGAACGGTGCTGCCATTGAGTTCAACCCGGGACCAAAGGATTTTCTTCTGCGTTTGCTATAAAAGCCTCCATTCAAACTCCACTACGGTTAGGTGTAACACCTGCAATGGATGGAGACACCTTAAGACTTGCTCAGGCCTTAAGAAACATAGGAAATGGGCCACACTTTATGTGGCCCCATGCTGCTAATGTGCAACTGCAACACTAGTGCAAATTTCATCTAGTTCGCGCACTGTGCCACCAATCCAGTTGAGTGTCCAACAAAGGACCCCAAGGAGTTCAACTAGGTAGCATAACTCCCCTTTGATATACCTCACACCTTTATTCCGCGCCAATATTTGCCGAAATTAAAAGTTCGGAGAGGCATCACTGTCGTAGCTGTTGCGCAAAAACGAGCAAACCTTGCAACATTTGAAAATTAGTTGCAGAAAAAATTACAACCAAAACCAACTGTGCTAGCTAAAATATCATTATATTATTAATGTTAAATATGTTTTTTTTTTTAAGTTTAAAGGATATAGTAGAGAGATTGCGTAAAGTGCACTAAAGCTATCACTTTTGGGATAATCTGTTTGACTTAAAAGCTATACACCATTAATAAATTACTTTTCTTTTACACAATTCAATCCCTTTTGGTACCTTTCCAATAAAAATCGATTTTTGCTATCACGCACATTTTTGTTTGAAAATGCAAATTTTCTAGTGCAGTTTTTAGCAGTTTCATGCAAGGACATTAGTCAGAATTAAATCAGCAGTGCAAACTGCGCAGTGATGCCAGTATTTACTTGCCGAAAAAGCCCTATCCAGACCCTGCTTAGCAGAAATCGATAACTTAACTGTCATCCAAATCACCTAGCGGTAGACTCAGGAAACGAGCTGTTTCTGCGAGTTTGGACTAAAAGGAGAGGAGAGTTAAGTGAGTTGGTTTTATTGGACATGCAAAGAAGTCATTAGTGTTTTGTATATCAGAGTCTATTCTGGATAAATAGGAGTTTAATTTCCTACAATACCCAGGATGAAGTTGCGCAAGACTTGGTTCCCCGTATAGTTTCGTATGTGAGACCACTATACGACGGAATATCACTAGCTGGTGTCATTTCCCGACGTGTTTCGGCCAGCGACCGCCCCTGCGAGATCTAAAGCTGCACCAACCACCACCCACACGATACTCCAAAGATCACCTCTAGACATCCGCGACAAACTCGTATACCTCAATTTAACTGCAATGGATTCAAGAGTTAGACTGAGGAGATAGTTGCATTCATGAGCCGGAAAGCTGGGGTCCAAGAAAACAAGTTAAACAGCCGCCCAGTTTTTTGAGTTAAGCAGGTGTCAACGTGATACGAAAGATCACGAACGGATACTGTTGGAGGCCTAGGCCTTATACTTCACAACACATTCACATTCAGGGGTGTTGTGGAATCCAAAACAAACTTGGTTAGTTGTCAGAATTGCAAATCAATTCTAATTTCAATCAATGGTTTCACAGAATCTAACCAATATTCAAATCAGCTGTTTACTAATGTGACAAAACTTTTGGTTAATAAACCATAATAGGAAGAGATCACAGTAACCCACTAGATGCCCCAGGGGAATCGTAAGTAAAATTTAGCTTGTATTTACTTGTATGTATTTACATGCTTACTTTACGGATTTATATCACATTATCGACTGATTAAAGGCGCTTTGTTATGATGTTAAATTACGTTTTTTAAATCCGCTAAAATATCTGCATTTTTTCCATAAACTCAATAGTTATGGCATTTTGTTTTCATTTAATCTTATGTTTCCCTCTATAGGAATAAAGATAAGTTAATTCATAACAATGAAATAAATTAATTTATCAACTTACATTTCAAATCTGTCAGCGACTATTCTCTTGTTTTGTTTTTGATAACATAACCAATAAAATTGGTTTCCGTGACATCCAAAACCGATACACTTTCGGTTTCTAACATCAAATTCATGACGCCTACTACATTTTTTTTTATCGTTTTCAATTCTGATTCCTAATTTTCGAGCTCGAAATAATTAGTATGTACATACCTCATGTTACATGTTGCCCAAAAGAATATGATCCGAACATATGAGCGTAGCTTCGGGTGAGATTAGATGGCATGTGTTCAAAAGTAAACAGCTATCTCACCGATCTTTCTCGCTTCTTTTCGGTACCAAGTTCACAGCGACCATATTCACAAACTGAACGAAGCAGTTCAAACCAGCTCTTAACATCACAGTCGATGGTACTAAAATTTCGACTGTTAACAAGTACCAGATTTTAAGCATTACACTCGACAGCAAATGCTCCTTCACTTCGCATATTACCGAGATGGTTGCCAAAGTTCAGAACTGCAACAAAAAGTCGCTATTTGGGAGCACCTGGGGAAAAGACAAATAAACGTTTTTGGCAACTTACTAGGCGACCGGTCATTAACTATGAACGCGTGGATGTAGGGAAATGAAGACAAATTAGCTTCTGATGTGCTAAAATGCTGCACTCCGCACGATAACAGAATGAATCCTGCTGTATCCTGACAAACATCAACATAATGAAGAATGCATTCTTTCGGTTAAGGAACACAATTCACCCCTCGTCAAGCAATTTCTGCTTAGATTATTTCGTAGAAATCCTGACTGCCATTCACAGTGAAGCCAACAACACCTTCATCGACTCCCACCCAATGAATGGTGTAAAAAGCTCGAGTTGTCTCGAGAATCGAGAGTGACTCTTGCACAATTTTGTTCTGGATATTGTAGCAAGGTAAACTCTTACATGACGAGAGTCTTGCCACCGTAATAAGAATTAGGTAACCGTCACAACAACAACACTACAAAAAATATAAAAAAATGAAAATTAAAGGGCAGGCGAAATTTAAATATGTTTAATGAAGTTTTTTGTGATATAATATTCGGGATATATACTCACAATTAACAAATTTAGTTTACTTTTGTTTTGAAATTCAAAAATCGTGCAATTGCAAAAAATTGTAGCCTTAGATTTAGGTTCATAGATCCATTTCTTGTAATTACATACTCGCGACTTATGTGTTCTGGAACCTTCTCTGCACTCATGTCTTCGAGGGACTTGAGAAGAGAATCCTTTTCATGAATGGATGGATGCTCAGGGCGAAGGTTGGACAGAAAATCTTCTTTAAGAAGCTCCCCATCAATTTTAGCTAACACGGTAGAGGTTGATATACTGCTTTGAAGTGCTGGTTCATTCAGAGAGACAGATTATTCGATAGTGCAATAAATACTGGCACCATTTCGCAGTTTTCACGTCTGATTTTGTGCTGGTTGATGCCCTTGCATAAAACTGTTAAAAATTGCGCATTTGACAATTTGATTTTTCTAACATAAAAATATGTGAAATATATCTTATTAATACTCTCACACACTAGTTAGATCGCAAATATTATCGATTTCTATTAGAATGGTATAAAAGGAGAATGAATAGAGTAAAAAAAATGAAATTCATTAATTGCGAATAGTTTTAGAGCTCTTGGCGCAACATCTTTCTCCTATATACAAATAACAAAAATAAAAACAAACGAGTTAATGAGATATAAGTAAGAAGTTGTGAATTCGGATGAGTAATAAAGCGTTAAGTTGTTGGAATTAGAAATAAATAACTATAACCTTACAGGACGGATATGTAATATTGTATTTTTTCAAATTTACATGATTATTCTTTATGATTCTATTTTTCCTCTTTATTTTTACAATTTTTTAGTAATTATTTTATATTAGCTTTTAAATATTAGCATTTATACATATATACGTTACAAACTAAATTTTCTTCCTTAAAATAATAGTAAGATTTGTTGCGCAATTCAATTAAAAACAGTCTCTTTTGCATCTTCCAACGAGACAGTTGTGATATTAATCAACATTGTTTACACTTTATTTTAAAATTCTTTTTTGTTTTTCAACGAGTTATTGTTTTACTTTGCGTTAATTTTCTCGAAAATTTGGAATAGGAACAGGAAAGACCCTAGCACCTACAGAAGTCGCCCAAGTCCACTCTTACAAGGATACTGGCATGCCTAACAGGCAAATTGTCGCTACATTGAGTCGCTCAGCCTCAGAAATCGATAATATGATTAAGGTTACATGTGTTCGTCGGGTAAAAAACGGCCTATTTTCAATTAATTCAATTGAATTTTTCTGTCTTAAAAATACACATTCAAAGAATAATTTCTGAGATTTTCAACAAAAAAAATTAAAACTCCGCCATTGTAACGTCATTTCCGGTGACCCCTCAAAAAAAGGTGCGTCCGCGTTGTCAGCATAACTCCTGACAGGATCATCTGAAATGAAAAATATATAATATGTGTTTTAGTTAGGACTATAAACTCCTGCTTGTACGGAGGAAAAAAAAAAGTTAAAATTGGAATTTTGGCATGCTTTTTTCCAACAATATGATTTTGGTAAAATTTGCTCGACATTTCTTTTTTTCAATAGTTGTAATTGAACAAAAAAAATCCTCCGAGGCAAGACCTTGTAAATTATATCTCAAAGAAAAATTTAATTAAGATCAGTTGAGTAGTTCGCGAGAAATCTTGACAACCGACTTTGAAAACACAGTTTCGAGTAAAGCGCATTTAAAGTTTTAAGTAACCATATAGCTGACCTCGAGCGGCCAACTTTTCTAAGCTGTTTCTCCAATACTATTACTGATATCAACTTGAGAATTTGGGGCAATATTCTAGAGATGTTATAAAATCAAACAAGATATAGATAATAAAAAGCTGCGAAACCCATGTAAATTATAACACAAACCTGTCATAAAAGCATAAACTGGTGCTGGGTTGATTTCAACCTCCCAATCAGTAAGCTTCGAGATCAACAAATTTTTTCAAGCAGTAATTGATTAATGTGGAAAAAAATGAAGACAAAACCTGCATTGGAGGAGGCACACTAATATGCCAGACTACAATTTGCAAAAATAGCACATGTCTTGGACAGATGAGTGGAAAAATGTAATATTTTCGGATGTAAAAAGTATAATATAATTTAGATGGCCTTGATGGATTTAATTACTATTGGCATTGAGAGGCCCCGAGTGTTATTCTGCCAAGTGAAACTTCGGAGGTGGTAGCTTAATGATTTCAACTGTTGGCTGATTTCAATTATCATAACAGGACACCCATATGCAAAATTTCCGGACGTATGATTTCAGAAATATATATAAATTTATTGGACAAAGTTCTGAATGTCTTTATGGATATCCTCACAGACAGAAACGTCGTATTTCAGCAAGATAACGCCGCGATACATGCCTTTCGCGCTACCAGAAGCTGGCTTCAAAAGAAACAATTCAACTTTTGGACTGGAAATCGCGATTCGAAAGTTTTTTTCCGATCGAGAACATTTGGGAAACCTATCTCAGTGAATCTATGCTGGAAGACGTAAGTTCCAGATTACAAATAAACATCTTTTGAAAATGTAAAAAGCAAATATTTATTTAATATTTTAAATTTTTAGGAAAAATTTACACGCCTTTAATTGAATTTCGCAGAGTGTATGTATGTACTAAATGGTATTGTTATCATTTTTTTGTTACAAAGCTTGTTTATGGTTTATAGATAGTTAATGTTAATTCTTAATTTTTTATAGTTTATAATAATAGTTACCTTAATTTATCAATTGTTAATATTCGCACATTATGTACGTACATACATACATATATACTAATGAAACAATACTATTTTTAATTAATTAATTTTGTACAACCTACTCTTTAGAACCTAGAGGATTAAAGACAATTTAAGTAACTGTTTGATCTTTCCTTGAAACCACCATTGGAAAAATATGACACAACCATTCCCGATCGCAGCACCATTGATCTCACTAGATTTCCAGCACGTGCAGAGCATTGATAATTTTATTCCGTCCTCTGCACTTATATTCAATTATTTAGAAACAATATAAAATTCAAGTACTAACCTTCTTTATAAACACCTATTGATGCTATAAAATAAAATAGGATGATATTATATTTAAACTTAAACTTTTTTTTCCAAATAATTCTTGATGGAAAATGCTATAACAGAAAGAAACATGAAGAGTGTCTCAGAGGTTGTGGACGTGAACGCTATCGCGATCGCGATTTTGGCTGCTTTGTCGAAGATGTCAACGCTAATATCTATACAGGGGAAAGAGCGGGATATACGTATATCGACACAGTTCATGCCAGAAAGACACATATAGTACATATTGTAGTATGCTACAGAAACAATATGTGTGTCCCGCGTATTTAAAATTTTTGGAAGGAACTGGTGTTCTGTGGTGTTGTGCAATGTACTACGATAAATTGCACTGAATACACCCAAAGCTTTAAGCTCTTCTGCCCCAGTCATATATTTTCAAATTTAAATTCAAAATAAACCTGAAAAGAAAAAAGTAATAATGGAAAAAATAAATGTGGGCGCAATTCAATCATCAGTTGTGTGGAATGCATAAATACAGCCATACTTATTCTACAAATCCAATTTCACTTAAGAACATCCGAAATATTAATTTATATATGTACATGTGTACATACATACGTATATCAAATAAAATAAATAAAAGGCGCCTAAAGCGGGCTATCAAATCTTCAAAAACATTTTCTACCACTAAATAAAACGTTTATTGAATACTCTTTCATTTTCCGGTTGTCCGTCCTGGTATCCCAACATTGATACAAATCATAATCTACCGATGCAAATACAACCGTGAATATCATCCTTTAAAACTAAAATAATCGCCTTCGTACTTCAGAGGCTTGACTTCTATGTGACAACCATCTCTTGCGCCATTGAGTGAACCCCAAACGATTAAAACCACTTCTACATTCATTGTGTTCGTGTATGTCGGAGGATATGCATCAAACACTTCGTTTTGAAAAACTTCGTATATTTCCTTACAAACGTCTACAACTATCCCCCTTCCGTGGTGCGTCCCACTACAAATAGATTTCCAATCGTTCTGTACTCAGGAGAAGAAGCTAGTGTATACAAACCCACAACAATTCGTTTTTGTAAACGTGTGGCGTTACGTCAGAAATTGTTATATTTGCGCACATCTCTTGGCTCACTCGTATTTTTAAACTTTTCCTCTGTGAAAAGATTAACAGCATTTTCCCAAAATTTAGTGTGTTTCATGTATAAACTCCTTATACATTGAAAACAAGCATTTGTGTACTTACCACAGGCCAGTGCGTTCGGTGTCGTTTCAAATCTATTATATAAAAATAAGTCGGGTTTTCCTTCCTGACGCTATAACTCCAGAACGCACGAACCGATTTCCACGGTTTTGTATTCGTTGGAAAGGTCTCGGGCTCCGTGAGGTTTATAGCAAAGAAAATTCAGGAAATATTTTAACAGAAAGGCGGGAAAATCTTTTTTCACATACAGCGCCATCTGTGATACATAGCATGTACTACAAACCAATATTTTAAGTAGATGGCGCCGGTGCGTGATACATTGTTTGACAGCTACTCATTGTTCTCTGCTCAATTAATTTCATGTGACAAACCGGTATTGTGTTCACTGTGAAATTGTGAAAAATAAGTTATTCGTTCATTACAATTGGAACTAACATTTCAATTGGAAACCATCAAATCAATCACGTGTATTGTGCAAATTTTTATTCAATTTCAACAACAGGCATTTGTCTTTAAGGTGGTAAGTTGAACTGTATAAATTATGTGGAGCGTGCATTTGAGGTTAAATTCACCACTCTATCCATAGTCCAAAATGCCTAGAGGACGACGTGCCAACATCGGCCGCCGCACAAGCATGCAAGCCAGCAACACGTGTGATTGAGACAACGCGTGAGCACACGAAGATCATTGGCATCATACAATCGCTTGGCATTCCAATCTGATCCCACTGCGAACTACAGTGATGATGCAAACTTAGATATTGGACCAATGACGACTATATGCCGATATTGCAATGCGTTAAAGTTCAAAAGAGAAGCGGCTGGATTGTGCTGCGCAAGTGGAAAAGTCAAACTGGATCCATTACTTACACCACCACAGCCACTGAAACCATTGTTCGATGGAAGTGATCCCGATTCCAGCCATTTTCTTCAACACATCCTTGAATACAATAACTGCTTTCGCATGACAAAAAAAAAACACCATCACACGATCATAAGTTACACCGTATTCTTCAACAAATGATTGTTTGCAATTACAGATACAAGGACAAATATATCATTTGCATGGTTCAATGGTGCCAACACCAGATGAACCGCATAAATTTCTGCAAATATATTTCATTTCGTCGATGGTCGATCAGCTGAATGAGCGGTGCAATATACAGGGAACACAACAGTTAAAGAGACGAATTATTGAACAGTTACAAGCATTTTTTCACGCTAATAATGCTGTGGTTAATATGTTCAAAACAGCATTGGAACGAATGCCATCGGATACGCACAAATTTGTCAAAATGCTGATTGTACCCCAACAGGTAAACATGTGCGAAGATTCAATGCACCCACCGTTAATGATGTTGCTGCAATTATTGTTGACAGGCAGACGTTGCCAGTAATTCCCCGTGCAACGGCTGCAGATGAATTGAATGCTTGCCTGAAGGTATCACCTTTATGGACCACTAATATGAGAGTTCAACTTCAAAATGATCGAATTGCTGCACAATTTTCCAAACAATTGTTAGCTGTTGGAAATGGAAAGTCAGAGTTGATGCGACATCTGGATTAATTACTCTTACCAACGACTTTTGCCGATTTGTAGACTCTCAATTAGCTATTTTTGAAAATGTTTTCCAAACCATTAGTGCGAATTATCAGAATTATGCTTGGTTAAGTCAACGAGCAATTCTTGCCGCAAAGAATAATGATGCACAGGCACTGAGTTTCACCATTCAATCAAAAATTGCTGGCGATTTGGTGACATACAATTCCGTTGATTCCATAACAAATCCCGATGATGTAGTAAATTATCCAACGGAGTTTTTGAACTCTCTGGAGTTACCAGGATTTCCACCACATAACTTGCAACTCAAAGTTGGTAAAGTTATTATGATATTGCGTAATTTGAATCCGCCGCGACTTTGCAACGGTACTCGATTTTCGGTAAAAAGACTTATGCCGAATTTGATTGAAGCAACCATTATTAACGGAAAGTACGCAGGTGAAAATGTATATATTTCGACTGATCTTCCGTTTGACTTCAAACGATTGCAATTTCCAGTTCGCCTTGCGTTCGCAATGACAATTAACAAGTCGCATGGCCAATCGCTTAGTGTTTGCGGGATAAATTTAGAAAATCATTGTTTTTCACATGGGCAGTTATACGTTGCGTGTTCACGAGTTGGGAAACCATCCGCTTTGTTTGTGTTAACGTCAGACCAAAAAACAAAAAAATGTGGTTTTCCAAAGAGCACTTCAATGAAACGGATAATTTGCGGACACGTATAACGCTTCGATTCAGTATTTACTTTGGATCCACTTTCATTTACTTAGAGAAGTTCAACTAAATAACACTTCATTTTTCATTTCAAATGAAATAAAATTTTTCCTTTCCAAATATAAAACAAAAAAAAAATGTTCTTCATCTTTTAATCACCAAACGAAATATTACATAAAACAAAGCCATCTGGTGGCGAAACGGGGTTCGCCAGGTTTGCTAGTTCTTTTTATATAATTTGTACCTTGTCAATGCTTGTATTGTTAATTTGAAATATAAAACTGAAGTGGATGAATTGAAAGATCATCTCCGCGAGCTAGAATTAAATCTGTCACTTAATTCAACAGCCTCTGTTGGAAACCTCCGTTCTTTGATGGCACAGTTCCGATATAACAAACCCAGAAAGACAGTTGGCATAATGAATTGAGAGACTCCAAAGTTACGACGTCTCTATAGAACATCGCAAAGGTAGTAATCATGGAAATGCTGATGCTATGTCCCTCCGTCCCTGTAATTTGGAATGCAGACATTGCTCGAAAGCTGATACTAAAGACGACATTATTGATGTCCGAATAATGACAATAACATCAGACTGGGATCGTCGCAAAGGCTTATTGAGTACAATGGAATAGTTAGAAGTTGGTATCTGGCTGTTTGCATTACGTATGGGAAAGCGAAGATGGGAAAAGTTGCCTAGCTCTGATGATTGTTCTGAAAGTATGAATTACCTAACCTCTTTTCGAACTTTGGAAGAAATTCTTAAGAAGGGGAAAGAGAACGCAAGAATCAAAAATATTGATCGAGTGGCGAAGATTTGATAAAGATGTACTATATAAGGGCTGCCAGATTGTGCAGCAGACACAGGTATAGTTAGAGTGCTGGGACTTTGGGAACAAACGTGGTGGAGGAGAGGGCACAATAGACTCTAGGTCGCGGTGCAAACCTCATACTAATCTATCTATCTATGGGTAGAGGGCTGCCATGTAACGAGTAAACGAGATATAAGTAAGAAGTTGTAAATCCGGATTATGAGTAATAAAGCGCTAAGTTGGTGGATTTAGAAATAAAGATAAGTGTATAGCCATTATATTGGGACTTTTGATTAACAATTCCGTGATCGAACTCTAGAAGAAGTTTCCAAGCAGACGGTTCATGACAAATACCTTACAATATTTTTTGTTTAAATAAATTTTGTTTGTTCTAAGATAAGGTTGTTTTGATATATTTTGTTTAAGGCTCAATGTATCAATTCTTTATTCTGACACAAGGTTATTTATGTATGCGCGCTTGTATGTATACACCAATCAAACAGGCACATTACTGACACAACCTAGTAATACACACCACACCTGAGAGCACCATACAGGATGCCACCACACGCAGAATAACACCACCAACCAACTAAAGGGATTGGATCATCGTTTCGCCGCGCATTCCCTTATACTGACACGACAATGAACCTGCGCTTTATTTTTTCATCATTCTCCAACAATTTGGAGCGCCACATCTTTTGATTTAAAACCATCACCGTTCCACACACGCCGATGCTACATTCAGCGATCCCAATTTTGTTAATTTTTTATATAAAATTATATTTTTAAAATTTTATTATGTAAAATCGCACTAATTAAATTCGAAATAAATTGTGCAATCAAATCAACGCGCATTTTTAGTTTATTTAACAATTGGGGAAGCTGTGAGCTGTGTGTGTTATGAAACGAAGATACGGTGAGGTGACAAGAAATGAAAAGGAGTGTAAACACAAAAAATCAATACATACATACATATTGCGGTGGACCAAAAATATACATATACCTACATACATATATACCAAAAAAAAACCACAAAAAATAGAAAATAATACGCATATATACGGCATTCAATAGTATTGGGTCCATTCGATTTGGAAAGTTTACAAAATTATTGAAAAATTAGATCTTATTTCGAAAATAAATAGACGGTACAGTAAATATATAAATAATTTAAAAATAATTTATTAAAAAGCAAACATACAAAAAGCGCGATCAAACAAAAATGTTTAATTTGCATAATACACGCATATACAGTTGTATGGTCTTTTCAAAGTCCACATTGGCATATATCCCGCAATATCCTTTGCAACAAAACAGCAAGATTGCGTTCAAAAAAAGCGCTTTGCAACATCAAACATACATACGCACAAACAATTTGTGCATACTTTATAAAAAGCGTATTGATCTCTTCAACGAGTTCTCAATTGCACATGTTAATAAGTACATACCTACAAGTCAAGGTATTAGGGTGTACCTATATATATCAACATACGGGCATAAAAAATATAATTAAATAAAAAGTGCGCTTTTTAATAATATAACTAAATAAAGTATTGAAAAACAAACAAAATAAAAATTTAATATTGTAAGCAAATACAAAGCGATATTAATAAAACTAAATACGTATTTTTATCGGTACTAGAATATTTATGCACATACATATGTATTATATATTCATTGCGAATTACAGATTATATTTTGAACAAAAAACTGTTATAAAACATTAAAAAACCGTTCAATATCTTGGTAACGGGTGCCAATTTGGTCTAACTTACCGGTTTTAAATTGCGGGTTAAAATAACGAAAAACCGTTTATTGTTTTATATATGTACATTCATACACATACATATATACGACAGACATATATATGTATATAATATATAATAATTGACTACCTGCTTACCTTCGTGTATTAAAACACAACAAATTTAAGTATTTCAATACTTACAAATTTTTCCGGCAATACCCCTTACGCTTAATTAAGCAGTAAGCAGGATTGCGAAATATATGTGAGCAAAGGAAAAGTCAAACTTAAAGCATAAAAGGCAAAATAAATATACATACATATATACAATAAACGAAGTTAAACAAAAAAAAAAAAATTTATATATATATATATACGTACCAAAAGGAGTACTTCATTTACTTCTAACGTATATATAACAATTATACCTATATATAAAATTATATACAGTGCATAGTTACGTATACATACATATGTATTCTAAATATTACATATTAAACATTAATATCGTATACAACATATCATATTTTACATACATATATATATCTTATACATCATTTATACATACAATAAAAACCTTACATACAGTGCTTATTGAAAATTGCGACATTACCTGCTATTGCCAATTTCTCTCTCGCGCTCTTTTACGACTATACATAATTCGCTTTTTTACATTACTTACAGTATACAATACGCTTATAAGTATACCCAAATATGTATATAGGGTAAATACGGTTCGGTAAATAAAACGCGGATTATTTAATAATAATCATACTATTTTATATAAATAATACAAAATTTTGAACAATATACCTACATATTGGTTCAAACTAAATTTATATTTATATTCAAAGTCCACTTTGGCATATATCCCGCAATACCCCTTGCAGCAAGCAAGCAGGATTGCGTACAACATTTTTCAGCACAAATAATTCGTGCGTACTAGTGCATAGGTACAAAGTGCATTGATCTCTTCAACGAGCTCTCGATTGCACAAGTGCATATATACATAACTACAAGTCCACGCATTAGGGTATACCTAAATACCCCTAAATAAGGACATCAAAAAATAAAATAGATAAACAATTTATTCAATAAATTGTTAAATTAAATTAAAAATAAATACGAACCGGTATTTATAACAACTGAATCCGGGTATTTCAGTTATTTATTTCAAATTAAGAACGCTAATTAACAAAAAAAACAAAAAATTTTACGGTTATACATATATACGAAAATTAATATTAATTTTGTTCAAAGTGGAAAACATTCACTATAAAGAGCTTTCGTTCACACATTTCTATATACGAAGAAATTTCCTGAATTATCCATCAGTCGACACTGAAGAATTTTGAATTTATTTCATACAATTTTTAAATGAGCTCAGACTCAAAAGAATCAAAAACACCTCAATTGCTAAAAGTACCTAAAATGATTTCTGACGAAAAAAGTCCATGTACACCTGCAGAAGCTACACGCTCAAAGCAAGGTGCTACAAAACAAAAACGGGTGAAAGATATTTCATACATATATCTGAGAGTGACAGTCTAATACGATACTGCACTCGATTTTCATCTTCGCCGATTCAGGATAATTCTGAATCGGTATTAGAAATCAAAAAGAAAAATCTTGATAATTTCTGGACACGTCTCCAAGCTGCATATGACGCAATAGTAGAATATGACGACTCAGATCTACCTGAAAATTTTAAATCCTCGGCTTACGCCAAGTACGAAAACTGCTTAGACCAGTTTGAAGAAACAAAAGCAATGATTTCGGATCAATTAAAATTAATTAAAGCCATAGCACATGCTCCACATCCGAGAGTAGAGCTGCCACAAACTCAATGTCAAGAGTCAAATTCAGGCATCCATCTCAAGGTGCCCACATGTGATACCGAAGTCTTTCATGGTGGTTATGAACCACCCAAAATTAACAAATGCACAAAAATTGTATCACCTCCGATACAAAACAAAAGGTCAAGCAGGCGTCATAGTCAAACAGTTCGCACTAAATGACGATAATTTCAATCTGGCTTGGGAAGCTCTAAAAGCAAGATACGAAAATGAAAGAATATTGGTCGATAAGCAAGTAACGATACTAATGAACTTGCCTAAAATTCAGAAAGAAACAAGTGATGAATTCATTAGACTACAATCCACTGTTTCTAATTGTTTGTCGGTTTTATCGACACAAAATATTCCCACAGACAGCTGGGACCCAATACTGGTATATATATGCAACGCCGTTTGACCTGAAAAATCGTTACTTTTGTGGGAGCAATCGCTCTCATCTCAAAAAAAAATGCCCAACGTGGCAACGAAAGATTTTCTAACACAGTACGAAAACACTGAATGAGTAGACACAAAAATTACTAAAACCACAAACTATCAAAACGACCTCAATAGAAGTTTCAACAAACCACAAGCTAGAAGCAGCAACAATACAAACAAAAGCGTTTACAAAACACAATTGTTCACATCCGAATAAAACAAACATACGTCATGCAAACTATGCACATGAGGGCATAAACTACAATCTTGCAAGAAATTTAAAAAATTAGAAATTAACGAGAGAAAAAATGTTGAAAGATCAAAAAAAGTATGTACAAATTGCTTGTCACATGCCCATACATATAAAAATTGCAAGAGTAAATTCAAAAAAGGCATCACTCAATACTTCACTACAGAACATTTCCCAGCTCACCCCAGAAGAGGGCATATATTAGTACAAAAAGAATCACGGGTTTATTCCCGAAAACCAGAAATCCGAAAATTTCCAAATGACACCATGTTGCTCTAAGGTACAAAACACTCAAACGCTACAAAATAGGGTATTACTACCCACAGCAGTTCACTGAACATCGAGGAGAACTCTACGAACTTACTTAATCTCCCCAAAGCGGATAAGCGCATTCAAGCAGAAGCTGTAGTCATGCCGCAACTAACAAATATGCAAGATATCACAGAAATAGTAAGCATTGCCAAAATATTTCACACCTAAAGCTAGCAGATCCCAACTGCAACACCCCCGCTCAAATAGATATTAAGTAGCGATCTCATACCTCAGATAATACTCGGGGGTGTTGAGAAAATTTCAAACACTCTATTGGCACAAAATACTATTTTTGGTTAGATTCTAAGTGGACTAGTTACGGAACCAGCTATCACCATGACAACTCAAAATGAGGAAATCTCAAAAGAATACCTTAATTCACAATTAACGAAATTTTGGGAGTTACAAGAAATCTCCTCCTTTTAAGTTACAACCCAAGCAGATCAGTATTTTGAAGACTTCTACAAAGCCACAACTACTCGATCAGATAATAGCCGATACGTCGTACGACAACCAGTAAACCCACAATTTTCCAACACTACACAGATGACCATATTAACCAAAATCAAAAAAATAATAATAATTTATCTAATCCAACTAAATTACTCAAATTTATTAGAAAATATTCCAACATAAAAGTTGTTGTACACTAATTTTTATTACAATATAATATTATATATACAAAAAGAAAAGTCTATCCTTTGGGGCAGAATGGCTTTCGCCAATTATGAATCCTGATTCAAGAATTATGGGGCGCACAAATGAAACATTTTCGCTTAGAAAAATAGTTCCAGTTCGCACACCTATTTACTGCAATTTCGCAGTTACAAATACCACAATGGGTAAACTATACACCCACAATACCAAGTCGAACTACACGGCTTCTTCGACGTCTCTGAAAAGGCTTATTGCGCACTCTCTATGTGAGCACACAAAGCGATACAGCGGTCACAATCTAATTACTAATAGCAAAAGAAAATGTGGCTCCTCTAAAACAGTAAAAATATGCGCTATGTGATATTGCCAAATTAAAATCTACAGTATATACGCATTTCAACCTGGCAAAATATAAATTATCTCGCTGCTCCGATTCCGAATTTGTTCTAGCCTGGTTAGACAGATCGCCATGTGCATGAAACACACACTATACTACTTGTATATATTCAATAGTACGTACACTCGTTCATGTCCCTCAGAATAGTATAGAAAATTCTCAAACTTATAGAACAACACAAAAAAAAAGTTAAGGGACCATCATACTCCCAAGGTGATACAATGACGCTCCTAGACTTGCAAAAGGCAAAGGTCGCAGTTATCGCGTCTATCTAAGCGCTCCTCAAAGCTAACCATGACGAATTTACCACATTACAAATGAAGCCGTTCTCAATTCACACATTCTCGTAAGATCATTCAAATTCTATATTCACAGCTCTAACCTCAGGGCAAAGGAGCACCCATTCTGGCCATATCTGAGTCATGCGTGGAGTTGCTATCTTTCATAAGGTAATGAAGAATATAAAGAAATTTCAAATAATTGCCGATAGTAAAGAAAAGGGACATCATAAACAATCCACATAACTAATCGACAAAAGAAAAAATAAATACAATCACTACTTGTTGTATTGCTAACTATAAAATCAAATAAACTCTCAGAATAATGCTGTTTTTCTCAAGCCAATTCAAATTCCAATTTTGCTTCTTACATCTAATTTTCGCGCCCTCGACTACTTCATCAGCAGCACAGACAAAATATTCGACTAGGGTTTCCAGAATGGTTAAATGAGCAAAGCCTACCCCCCCACCATACATGTACACAAATCAAACTGGCACATTATTGGCACAACCTAGAAATACACACCACACCTGGGAACACCATACACGATGCCACCACACGCAGAATAACACCACCAACCAACAAAAGGGATTGGATCATCGCTTCGCCACGCATTCGCTTATACATATGATTACGACAACGAACCTGCGCTCCTCTTTTCTCATCATTCTCCAACAATTCGGAGTGCCACCATCTTTTGATTAAACCCATCACTGTTCCGCACACGTCGATGCTACATTCAGCGATCCCAATTTTGATAATTTTTTATATAAAATTATATATTTAGAATTTTATTATGTAAAATCACACTAATTAAATTCGAAATAAATTGTGCAATCAAATCAACGCGCATTTTTAGTTTATTTAACAATTGTGCAAGCTGTGAGAGCTCACACAGTATGGTGTGATCCCTAATACATTGGGTCCGATTGTTATCACAATTGGGCAGGAGTTTAACTAAAATTGATAACAACCGTATCAAAAAAATAGTAAAATAGACAGACTCAGAGCTCCTTACCAATAAATGTGGGTAATTTAATCCATACTTAGGACTTCTTGGTTCTGAGCTGTTCAAGCGGCAACCTATAATAAAGTTCCTACATTGTTTGAATTGACTTTTTGTTGTATGTTATAAATCTTCGCACTAATGTAATTTTTTGGCAAACTTTTTTTAATGCTTTGGTAATTGCAAATGTGAGTTCTTTTATTTTATTAATTTTTTTTTTTTTGTAATTCTCCAAGAGTCGGTTATAATATGTTAAAGAATATAAAATTGATGAGATTAAGTTGGTATACTCGTAAGTTATTAACATACTATATCAGCTAAATGTCTCATGAGTTTTCCATTTATGGTTTTCTTTCTCTCTTAATAATAATAAAAATTTCAGTAGTTATCAAATTAACCTCACTAGTTATAAATAAAGTAAATGTAACTATATTTCAGAAATTTATTTCATGTCATATTGTTTGTTTTAGAGATATGTATGTATATATAATAATATTAATAAATATAATTATACTAAGTGGGAACTTTTTCTACAAATTCTCTCTTGGGCTTTAAGATTTAACCATGATTCAATAATATAAGGTTGTGTTGATAGCCCAAAAACAGCAACTTGTCAAAAGGGTTTTTATTCATAATGTCAAAATCAGCTTTCACATTAATCAAAAAATAAAATACACCAAAATAATAATAAAAAAATTAGTGTGTCAAGTACATTTGCAGCGATTGTTATGGAAGATGAGTTGAATGCAGAAGAAGCTATTGGTTGCGGTGTGAATTTATGAAATGGGCCCCACCAGTTTATCTAGCTTGAGAAATACTGTGGACAACTTTTTTCCTAATGAAAGCCTTCTAATCCGTCCAAACCTGATTAGCTTAAGAAAACTTTTTTAGAATAGCAAAATTATTAGTTTATGTGGTTTTCAATGAGGCAATAGTTTTCTCGGCATTGATCTTTTTAACAGTTGTTACTAGATTTTATAATATCCTTGAACATATACTTTTAGGCAAACCCAACGTATGCAAATTGCTCAAATGTATTACCAAAATAATGACTCACATCGCGCCCTTCTTCCAATATTCGATCAGTTGGGGATTCGAGCAATCATGGATCGGCTTCGCACCACTTTTCCTCTAGTTGAGAATACGCATCCTCAGGGACGCCGTACAGTGTACATCGAAAACACTATTGCTACTGTGGACCATTTTATCGAAGAAAACCCCAATGATTTCATTCGCCATCGCGCTTAACAATAGGAGCTGTGCCCATTTGCTTTAAGGAAGACTTCGCGGAAGGATCTTGGTTTGCGGGCTTACAAAATCCAACTCGTGCAAATATTGAAGCCGAACGACCATCAACCAAATTGCAGCAAAAAGAGGCCTTTCGGCTGAAATTTATTCAAGCCATCCGCGGAGGTCACTTGCCCGAAATCATTTTTATAACATAATGGCGCATCCTTATACATAAATTATATAAGCGGCTTATTTCTTCATACCGATTCCTTCCAAAGCGCATCGACTTTATTTTTGTCACCCTTCATAAAGCCTTGGGCGATGTTCCTATGAGCTTCCATGAATCGCATATTGATTGTATACTGCTCTGCGTTCTAATCAATTTACCATTTTAAATATTTTTTCTGCATAATTTTAGCACTTTAGTTTACTTAAATGTTTGCGCACACCAAATTCACACAACTGATTTTAAATGAGTAACAACCGAATATTTTCTTGAGAATTCGCTTTTCAGAACACTCATTTTCAACCGAAATTCAATTTGAAAAAAAATGTGAAAATTGAATAATGAAGGTGAGATATAGAACACCAAATGTCGAATTGAAAGTGGATTTGCTTGAAATTCACTCGGAAGTGAATCACAGAATTTTTTGATTTCATGATTAAATACTAAATTTTTCAATTAATTCAAAGGTGTCTTTTGAGTGATAACTGATTCCGAAAAGATTGTAAATCATAAAATCATCAAAATGTACGCAAGAAATTCATAAAAACAAAAACAAAAAAGTTTTTGGACATCGGGGATTAAATTTTTCGTAAGAGGAAGCACGCTCTGAGGTAATACAACACTTGACTTGAATTTTTTTCCGAAAAATTTCATAAAATTTTCATAAACGCTTATTTAAAGCAAATATTAAAATAACTGTATAAAATAGATATGCGGAACAAATGTAGTGAAGTGTTAGTGTATAATAAGTTCATAATATAAAAGAAAAATGAACCATAAATCGAGAAAACGCAAGATAAAACTTGTAAAATTTTAAACCTAAAATGCATATATCTCGAAGTTTCCAGCGGCTATAGTTATATATATTCTTAATTTGGAGAATCTTCACTATCCAACCATACCCCTTTTAACCCTGAAATCGTGGGATGGTATACTAAAGCCGACCCAGTTTTGACAAGTCACTATTCAGAATACAGTCTCTAGTCTTTGGTTACACAATATTTTCTCAAATTTATCACCTCATCGTAAGCAGGTCACAAAATTAATAAGAATTCTTGTTTTCCATTTTGAATATACTGACACTTCACTTATAAGATTATCATAGATATTAATCAATTATCGGTATTTATATATTGTAAGCAACTTAAACACGTAAAAGTTAAAAAAAAACAATTTCAAATAAGTTTCGTAACTATTGTGATTCAAAGTCAACATTTTATTCTTATTTTTATTGGTAATTATACTTCTTGACTGCTATATATATGTTAAAGAAAATTTAATGTTTGTAATCGACATGTTTATTTTCGTTTAGGCTATATATACATCTCTAAATAACGAAATGTAACAGTTGATTATCTGCTAATTTTCAATTGAGAGATTTTTGTCACTTTTCTTTACTGAATAGCAAAAACGTCTCAAGTCACAAAAATTGTCTCTAACTTAAAATCTCAAATTTAGAGACTGGTGACTGTATCAAAATACTGACAAGGATGACATGATGCGAGACTCTCTCATTTTCGCTGATTTTTCTGTTATTCTCTTTCCCTGATTATTAAAATCGGGGAATTTCGAAAAGCTGATGTCAAAAAAGGCGGGATGCCAAACCCGCTAAAAATAGCTAATAAAAGCAGTGCGAAACGAAATTTCAAAGAACGACACAAATACTTTTGAATAACATGCAACTAAATTTTATTTGTTAATTTATTTTAAAACATTCATTATAAAACCATGATCTTTTATTATGACTTGTATTGTTTCTTTATTATAATTTTTTTTATTTATATGCTACTTTTTTATGTTATATGATTTTTTAAAATTTTTGTAATATAAATACAAGTACATAGGGATGTATATGCGTTATATAGGCCAACTCGGGGACGGAGCACCTAAAAATAATATCGATATGCAAAATACCCAATCCATTTTCGTTCGACAGTGGCATGATTGGCAATGTTACAAAAAATGTGTTTTTTGACTGCTCTCTCTCGATTCAAAGAGTCTCGCATCATTTCATCCTCGATACTGAATTGCTCTTAAGTCAGATCAAACCCCCATGCCGAAAACACAATCAATACATCTGATCATACACAACTTTATTAATCGATCCAAGTACCGACCAGCGTCAACTAATTTGATGCCATATGAACGATTTGATCTTCGGCAATCACGATCGAGTAAAGGGTATGGCTGACTTCGTTTCACATCAAATAAAATCAGCACATTTCGTTACAACGATAAATTGAATTTAATTAAAGTATGCCTTCGGATAAGCTACGAGTACAGGCAAAATTACACGAGTAATGTACGATTGGGGTTAGGGGTAGTCAGAAGAACAAAAAAATTAGAATTTTCAGTAATTTTTTTTTGCTATTGTATTAAATCATTTTATTTTACAAAAGTAGAAATATAGCATTATTATACAATGTTTTGACTTGAAGTCACGAAAATTTCAAAAAAAATTTAATTTCCAAAGCTGTCTGTTTTGACCCAGTTCCAAAAGGTCCTTGCAGTGACAATCATAAGTCCTTGGAGATTCATCTAAAATCAATCGGATAAAAAAAATTTTTATTATGTCTTCTAAAAGATGTATGAATTTGATTGAAATTTTGAGAAAAACGCACTTAAAGTTTTTGCAGCTGCCGCTAGCTACCTGCCCCCGAGTGATCTTGGTTATTTGTCGAATAACTCAAAAAGTAATTATCGGATCAGCTTGAAATTTTCCGAAAATTTTTTCAAGATTTTACACTTAACGAAATATCATAAAAAACGAAACAAATTGATTTTTGAAAATTCTGACTACTCCAAACCCCTGGAATCATGTGAAATATATTCACCTGAGGGATTGGTTAAAGATTGCGATGCGTAAAACAACAGTGTCAGCATATATTTGAAGCTGAAAGAACTTAATAGATATTTATAGAAGGTTTAGTTATTTTGAGAACATATAGTTAAAATTAAAAAGAAAACATAAATACACATTATTCTTGTTCCATACATTTCATATTAAAAAGTAACAAACACGAAGTTTGAAGCACCCAGAAACGTCGGAAATCTTACAAAATATAATATATATAAATATATAAATGATAAGCGTGACGAGCTGAGTCCATTAGCCATGTCCGTCTCTATTTACGAGATCGTCCCTTAGTTTTTAAGATATATATTTCAAATTTTCATTTATTTCATAACAATAATTGCATGATATGTTATAATTTAAAGTTTTGCTCCTGCAGACTTTTCAGCGGTGACCTATATATATCCTACCCGGGCCCCATTTTTTTCTCTACTACCCGGATAATGTGCATATGTATATGTCAAAAATAATCGATAGGTCTATTAAGTAAGGAATAATGACCCATTCACAAACAAACAACTTTCACAACAACTTTCCTTACTTTGCTTGACAGTTCAAATTTTAACAACGAAGCGACATTGCAGAAACCTTCTATTTGTGTTCTATATGTTACTATAATGGAGTTTAAGTCTTAAATTTTAAAAATACAAAAAAAAAGTTGTATTTTCATTTGTCATTTCAACCACTCACAATAGTAAAACTGATCTAAAATATGCAAAACAAAAGTTGGTAGTATCAAAGAAAGCGGTGAGACCACTTTGATAGGAAATCCGCATACTCTCTTGTTTCATTCCAACTCGGTAAATTGAAATTGAAGACAGCTAATAAGTAAAAGTACCCAGCAAGTCAAATGCAACAACTACCGAAATTATTTGTTTAGGCTATCATATAAAGCGGACAGTTTTGACCAATTTCGTGTATTCTTTATGTTAAGCTTGTTTGAGCGCAATTTTGACGTAGTCCTACTTTAACAATTTGGTAGTGCTACCAAAAGTTTACAACACATTTTTTGATTAAATTTATTAAGGAAATAGTTAACTGTATCAAATCATTAATGATAAATGCTGGACACTTGTCTTCATTTCTAAGTATATTAACTTTACTCTTTATTACTCGTTATTCGGGATAACCACTTTTTACTTATAACTCTGTTACACTTTACCAAGTAACGCTCTAATATGCTGCCAATCCGGATGCCCTATATAGTAGTTCGCACTCGAACATTTTGGCAATTGGAAATTTCTATCTCCCCATAAGTCTGATTTACATATCCTAGATTAGACATATTTGTGGCACCCCACGAGTTACCTTCAATTTATTACTAAGTGTTCCAAAGGTCTGTATGCTATACACTCAGCGATATCGTTTATTTATTTGGTATAATCCTTCTCAACTACACAGTAATTTAAGTGAAAACAATTTCTACCATTTTGGATTATATAACGCTGAGTCTCCTTCAGTAAATAAATCAGAGTTCAATGCCTTGCCGTATTTTACCTTCATTATATTACTCAAAATTTGGGTTTACTGTCTTGTCATAGCATGTATGTCTCTCATCTCGTCTTTTGCGATATTGTTGGCTTCCTTTGCATTCCCTCCTCCATTGGCGATAATTTCAAGCTTACATTCCATCGGTAACCGAATTTAATTATAAAAAATTAGTAACTTGTAGAAGTCGGGTTTATCGTGGGTGTCTAGAGTTGATCCTGGGAGTGAGTATGAGTCTTAAGGCCTGAGCAGGTCATAAAATCTCTCCGTCTATTGTATGTATTGCATCTAACCGAGGTGGAGTTTGAAACAGAAAAAGTCTTCCGGGCCCGGGTTGGACTCAATGCCCTGCTGTTAGGTGTTCCTCCAGTGATCTCAAACTTAACCTCAAACTTACCGATCAAAACTGAGTTAGATCGCGCAACTTTGTTCTGGATTCTGTAGCAAGTTAAACTCCTTATCCAGAATTGACCAGAATGTCTTAAATGCACTGTGTCCCCGCATGACTCCAACCACCTCTTTGCATGACCAATGAAACACACTCATACAACACCGCTCTCCTAATGGTCCGACCCCGTTAAAACAGCCCGCTTCCTGGGCCTACCGTTAAATGACTTCGATTACAACCAGCTTGAACTTTACCACCCAAGCGGGTATTAGATAACTGCTACAACAACAATTATTCTGGCTGCAAATTTATGTACAGCCGACCGATAAGCCATCATGAATAAGGATACACAGTATCCACCGCTTAATTGACACCTGGTTAATTGATTTTGCCGCTTATTTCAATCCCCTCATCGGTCAAAAATATATTACAATAAACAAAATATGTGTAAGTTTTCCCGCTTCACTGAATACGGTTTATTGGTTTACCCGCATAATTTATTAAAAATTTTTATTATTGAAAAAAATATACCTTTAATTTCCATCGGTTAATTGCACCAAAAACTTTCGTTAAAAAATTATCTGACATTGATAAGGCATATCTGCTAGGCAATTGAAAACATACATCTGTATGTTTATTGATGCAAATATTTTGGAGGATGGTGCTTTTATCTCAGATCGTGAGTAGCAAGAGAAAGAAAACGATCCTTTAAAGCATCCGTCAGTTCTCGAAGTTTTAAAATACATACAAGAACTTCAAGCATATTTTTATTCAGAAAACAAGTTTTTGTGTGAATTAGAGAATATGGTAACGAATGTTATTTCACGTAGATTGAACATTCATTGGTTGATTGATACAAAAAATGTTACAGACTTCATCAG